AAGTTCTCTGCCTTCCCCCCCAGCCTCATCTAGCCCAGATCATGGGCATGCACACATACCTGGCATGCAGAAAGGGGATCCAGCATGCAAACCCAGGTCTCTTCCATGTAGGTCTAGTTGTGTTTCCCCTGAGCCGTAGCATTACATGTTATTCTTATTTCTTATATGTTTTTAATTAGTTTCTCTTCTTTTTCTAAATGAAATTTAGAATAATTTTATCCATTGAGTCAACCTATATTTGTTGAGTGGGATACTCTAGGCAAGATATTGTGTACAGCATTGGGATTGTCACAAAAACTAAGAGAAATAGTCTTAGGCTCTTATGGTGCAAAAGATTTATTTCCAAAAGATCCACTTGGAATTTTGATGAAGACTGAATTAATCGTATAACCTGTAGGATAGTGTAATCCTTTCAATATTATTTTTTTCTTTTTATAGGGACCAGTAGGTGGCTTAATGGTTACGTCGCTGGACTCTCACATAGTCGACTGCGGTTCAAGCCCCAGACCTGGTGGCTTAAACCTCATACTGGGTGCATGTGTATGCATGCCTGAAATTGTGAGAGGAGAAAGGAGGAGAAGGAGAAGGGATTGCAGTGTGGCCATCCCTTTTGGGGAGTGACTTCTCTCTTTCTGTTTCTCTCTCTGGCGAGCACACATGCCCTATAACAAAAATCTCTCTTTCTTTTTAGAAATGTTTGTCTCTTCATTTATGTGCGTGTGTGTGTGTGTGTGTGTATATATATATATTTGTTATTTTGTTATATTGTTACTATAAATGGGATACTTAATGAATTGTTATGTTTGATATGCAAGACTCTTTTCTTCAATGCACAATGCAGTTATTTTTATTAAACCTCTACTCTTAAGCTCTTGATTTACTGGAATTTGCTATGTAGATAATTGTATTCTGTGATGATAATGGTACTTTTTTAAAAAAACTTATTTATTTATTTCATGTGTGAGAGAGGAAAGAGACAGAAACCTCTGGCACAGTTTTGTCATGTCACAACCCTCCCCTTAGTCTTCCAGTGAGTGGGGCTCATGGGTATACCCAAAGGTACTTCTGGGTCTTGAAGTTGACCCAGATATGAACCCTAAGACTTCCCACGTGGCTTCAGCATTGTGTAGTTGCATCTGACTGTCAGAACGTTAGTTCTTAACTAATTATCCTACTTATACCAGAAACAATTATGTTTTGGTTTTGGAACTAAAACTTTTAGTTACATTGGGATTAATTGATTTAATGTAATGGTAAGTCTATGACTAATTTTTTGTTTTCACCTAAACTTCCCTACCTGTTTGAATATTCATCAAAAGTGACTTTACAGACCAGTATTTGGTGGTATGGTTAAGATGCTGGACTCCCACATGGCAGACTATGATTCAAATCTCGGAACTGGTAGCTTGCTTTCTCGTTTTCTCTCTCTCTGCTGAGTGTATATGCCCTATAACAAATTAAAATAATAATAATGGATGAAATTAAATAAATAATTCTAAAAGAAAAGTGACTTTCCTGTCTCCAGAAATACTGCCCCTATGCTAGGTATGCAGATAGAATAGAAAGATTAAAGAATTTAGACTTTGAGCTCTGGTCTGGAAGATCCCATGAGAGACCAGATATATCTCCTAGAAATTATTTTCAGGCTTCCAAATTTACTCTGGGAGGTTGATCTAAATTCACACTCAAGATTTTTCTCACCATAAATACAATCACTTGACCCACTTTCTTTCTTTGTTTCTTTCTTTGTTTCTTTGTTTGTTTGTTTGTTTCTTTTTTTTTTTTTTTTTGAGAGGTTTTTGCTATAGGGCACGTGCGCTCGCCAGAAAGACAGAGAGAGAGAGACAGAGAGATAGAAAGTGAGAAATCACCCCCCAGGAGGATGGCCACGCCACAATCCCTTCTCCTCCATTCTCCTCTTGGGATTCTGGGCACAAATGCCCATGCACCCGGCATGAGTTTAAGCCACTGAGTCTGGGACTCGAACTGTGTTCGACTACATGGGAGTCCAGCGACATAGCCATTATGCTAACTGCTGGTCCCACTTGACTCATTTTCTAACCTGACTCCCTCTAGCCAGGTGGTCTTCTGAAATCACACTGTTCAGACCTGCATCCGTAGTCCCAACAGGGTGCCAGTCAAGACAGTTACCCAAGGAATCATTGACTTCTGCCATCAGACTTTGCAGATTCAGGTCATATAATCAGAGATGTTAGCACTGAAGAGGACCTTCAGGATTAGCTTGCTTCAGTTCTCAGTTTATCAGTGAGGAAAACTGCCCAGAGATGGGTAGTGACGAAGATAATAGAGTGTAGACAACATGCTGTCGTAAGAACTTGGCTTTCATGACTCTGAATTTTGTGTTCATTTCACTGTTACTCTGGTTTAAAAATCAAAATTAAGTTTATCTTCTATTTTCTAAGTGAACCATTAAATGAATTCCATTTTGATTCATGTCTGATAAAAGGTAATGAAATATTAAATAATTTTACATTCCTCCTTATTATATTCAAGCCTCAGTCTGCTTGTACTGTTTCATGTAATGACAAATCAGTAATTTGTGTATGTGTGTGTGTGTGTGTGTGTGTGTGTGTGTCTGAAAATGGTCTGAGTGGCAGAGTACACACAGCTTTAATGAACCAAGATTATAGGACTGCTTCTTCCAGTCATTCCAGGGGTGATTTTTGTAGAGTTGTACTTCATAGATTAAGCTAGGTATCAGTTACCATTGTTTTCTTTTCTAAAAAAAAAAAAAAATCAGGTGATATCTGTTAATGGTTCCATTGTAAATATTAGAGAACATGCTGCTTAGAACAGATTAAGGGAAACTATTGAAAGGGAAGGAGGTTTAGAGGACTGATTTTTGTCCTTGATGGTAACAGCTCTATGTGCTGATGAGATTTATGTTGGTTTTCTGTTTGCAGATGAGTCTATTATTGGAATTTTCTCTACCTTAACTATTTTATTCTATGAACACATGCTCTCCCACAGTAAGATTATCAGTGTCCTTGTGAAATAGCCACTGTCATTCCAAAGATGAGTATGTTGTCCTTTTTTGGTTGAGGCAAGATAACTATCTTTATAATGACAATATGTAAAATAGGCGATCTATTCAGATTAATAAAAATTCTAACTGTTTTGGTACAAACTACAGCCAAAGCAACAATTCAGCAAATAAATCCATTGTGATAGAGATCACAGGTTATAGAAAAATACAACAGAGATCCAACGGCAGGGAAATTAATTCAAATTACTCAACAGGAAAAATTGTATGCCAGTATATACATTGCTAACTCTAAAAGTTTTATGCTACAGCTTAATTGGTAAAATATTTCTCTTTTCTTTCTCAGGATGCTCATTTTAGCTTTCTGCAGACAGGACTTACATCTTAAAAATATTTACATACGTTTTTTGCAATGTGGTATTTCTCATTGATTGTACCTTCTGTGCTTCTCTCCCTCTTTCACATACCATCCCTCTCTTGTTTGTGTGTATGGCTATATATGTAGATAGATGGAGGCGAGAGAGAGGGAGAGAAAAACTATACCTTTAGTTCATGGCCACTATTAACTATTTTTTTTGGAGGGGAGAAGTTTTTGCTATAGAGTGCGTGAGCACACCAGACAGACAGAGAGAGACAGAAAGCAAGAAATCACCCCCCAGGGGGATGGCCATGCCGCAATCCCTTCTCCTCCATTCTCCTCTCAGGATCTTGGGCACGCGCACACACACGCCCATCGTGAGTTTTAAGCCACCGGGTCTGGGTGGCTTTTTTTTGTTTTTATTTTTAAAACTTATTTTTAAAGATTTTTTTTATTTTTAAAACTTATTTATTCATTCATTCATTTTAATTTGACAAGAGAGAAATATATATAGAGAGAAGGAAAGTGTGAAAGCAAGCCACCAGGTCTGGGACTTGAACCGTGGTTGACCATATGGGAGTGTCCAGTGGGTGTCTTAAGCACCACACCACCTGCTGGCCCCACTGTTCACTTTTATAAAAGTTCATTTACTTTATTCATGAAAGAGAGCAACAGAGAGAGTGAGAGAGAGAAAGAGAAGCAACATAAACATGGTCTGATCATGCTATGATCTCCTTCCCTCAGAACTCTTAGGTACTTGCACGCTGGCATATTTTGGGTCAGCTGGGCCAGTACCTGAACCTGCAGTTGGCTGGTATGACTCCCAGCACTACATTTTAGTTAGCTACCAATTACATCACAGAGGCTGGGCCCATTATTCACTTTTTAGTAAATAATACTTTATAGGGGCCAGCAGGTGGTATGGTGGTTAAGGCACTGGACTTCCACATGGCTGACTGCAGTTTGAGTTCTGGACCTGGTGGCTTGGAAATCATGCCAGGAGCATGTGTGTGCATGCTCCAAATCTCAGTACAAGAATGGAGGAGAGAGGATTGCAGCATGATCATCTCCCCTCAGGGATGATTTCTCACCTTTCCTCTCATTGTCTTTCTCTGTCTCTCTCCTGTGAACATAAATGTCCTGTGGCAAAAACCTAAAAATAAATAAATAAATAAATAAATAAATAAACTTTACATAGAAATTTGTCTCCAAATGACTTTTGCTATAACTAAAAGTCAAATCTTATTTCAAAGTATTAAGATATTAAAATAGTGTCAGGAGTTACAAAAATAACATGCCAATTTTAAATCCTTTTTTTAAAAAAATGTTTACTTATTTATTTGTTGGAGGGGAGTGTTCTTGATAGGGTCTTGCCATGCCACAACATCATCTTTCAACCCTAGCCTTCTAGGCAACATTGTAGGCATGCCTATGTGTACCTGTCATGTTCAGGGCAACCCAGGATCTTGACCAGGAGCCTCCTGTGTGCCTCCACTATCACACAGCACTCTGACACCTATGCCACTATGGCTGTGACTTAAGTCCTCCTTTGAAGATGACAATTTTAGTGCCAAAATTGTGAGGGCATTTTATGAGAGGGAAATAAAATCTAATTTCTCTGTTTTTCTCCTGTCACAGGAAGTCACCAAAGCAGTACAACCTCTCTTGCTGGGAAGAATCATAGCTTCCTATGACCCAGAAAACAAGGCAGAACGTTCCATCGCCATTTACTTAGCCATAGGCTTATGCCTTCTCTTCATTGTGAGGATGCTGCTCCTACACCCAGCCATTTTTGGCCTCCATCACATTGGAATGCAGATGAGAATAGCTCTGTTTAGTCTGATTTATAAAAAGGTAATATTTCCTTGCATAATCTCTATGGTACACGCGCTCTGCATGGTGTGTGTTTTGAATACCACCATTTAGGTAGTGAACTGTTATAAGCAAGGAATAAATACTGACATTAATTTCATATGCCTGTGAAATAAATAGCATGAATAATTAATATTTTTAATTTTCCTTGATAATGCAGTTCACTTCAACTGAATTATTAAGCACCTTGTGTAAACTGCCTATATTTTAGGTTTCATTTTTATTTTTTCATTAGTCACGTGAAAAAAGGTATGTTTTCCTTGTTAAAATGATTTGCATGGTGTGCATAAAATTTATTGGCAAAATTTTACCAAATCTTATTTTAAAATGCCATGTGTGTTAAATGTTCAATAATGAGTATAACATATAATTATTAATAATAAACCAAGCAATTAAAATTTCCTCTTTAATCAGATATCACATGTTCTGGACCTCACTATCTTTTTTTTTTTTTTAAGATTTTTTTGCCTTAGGATATGTGTGCTCACTGGTGAGAAAACAGGGAGAGGGAACATGAGAAACCACCCCCAAGGAGGGATGGCCACACTACAATCCCTTCTCCTCCATTCTCCTTGCAGGATTTTGGGCATTTATACACATGTGCCTGGCATGATTTTCAAGATACTGGGTCTGGGACTTGAATCATACTCAGCTTTATGGGAGTCCAGTGCCTTAACTACTATGCCCCCTGCTGGTCCCTCATTGTCTTATTTTGAGTTAGATTTTTGCCATCTTGGAAATTTAAGATTTTGGTAGCATTGAAGCCCTAAGAACTTTGCTTTTCTGTGTGTATTGTCCAGACAAGAATTCATGTTGCTGAAGCATGATTAGGTGAATTCAAATGAATATTTAGCTACATTGCAAGCACGATTTAAGATAATTTCAATGGCATGAGCAGTCACCAACCTGAAACCTATGTATGAATGCTTGGATCCACCATGTTATTATAGAAAAATATTTTAACTGAATCATTTGGGTATCGCGATGCCCTTCTCTGTCCCCCCGCTCCACAACTTAAAAGTCTTATATACTTGGCTTATAAAGGACATGGATCTGAAATTTGCCTCTAGCACATAACCCATAACACTTCTATGATATACGTGCAAGGTCAACTGTGTTGTAAAACTTTGATAACTATACTTTATTGTCCAAAAAGCCTTTTATGGAGGCAGAGGTAAGAAATGGAGTCCATAGTTTAATCACATCACCTCAACTGCAGTCTCATCAGTTCACAAGTATCAGGACAGCATGAATGATAAATCGACAAAAATTGTACTTGGATTTTGAAATTTTACATAAATTTTACATAAATGAAGGAACTATTAGGTGTTATTTAGAACATACAATCTACATCGTTTGCCTGCCAAAAAAGTTGAATTTGGTTTAATAAATATTTGTAAAAAGTGTTTATTATCATAATGATAGCTAAACGGCAAGAAAGTACATGACAAGCCTCAACAGCGTGACTTAGGTTTATTATCTCATTTGATCCTCCTCACAATTCTATGTGCTATTTATTATTATTTCTATTTTATGGATAAGGAGACTAAGACCTAAGTTCTATACTAAGTATAGAACATTCTATAAAGGTAAGTTACAATCTCCAAAGTGGAGAGTTTTCCAACTATTGAGGAATATGAAATAATAGTAGTGAGGAAGTCTGTATTACATGGGAAGAAAGAAACAGGGGTTAAAGTGGAGGTAGGAGCAGGTTAGTTTGTAAATATGTCTATATGAAAATTTAGCACAAATATTGTGATACGTGTGCTTTCAGACCCAGAATGCACTGATAAAAAGTTAGAACTTCTGTCTTTCTCAGTTTTGAGTATATGTGCCTTACCCAGTTTGCTTTACTTCTCTAGCTACATTTATTGCCCTGCATTATATAGCTATTTATAAATATATTTGTCTTTTGTTTGTTGACATTATCTAATTTCCCCCCTTTTTTTAGACTTTAAAGCTGTCAAGCCGTGTTCTGGATAAAATAAGTATTGGACAACTTGTTAGTCTCCTTTCCAACAATCTGAACAAATTTGATGAAGTATGTACCTAATGATTTAATTTTTTTTTTTTTTTTTGAGAAACAAATGTTTTATTATAGGGTGCATGCACTCGCTGGAGAGCCAGAGACAGAGAGACAGAGAGAAAGCAAGCAAGAAGTCATCCCCCAGGAAGGATAGTCACACTGCAATCTTTTCTCCTCCATCTTCCTCTCGAGATCTCGGGTACACACGTGCACATGCCCAGCTTGAGTTTCAAACTGTGGTGTCTAGGACTCAAACCATGGTCAACTACGTGAGAGTCCAGCAACATAACCATTATGCCATCTGCTGGTCCCTTTGATTCAATCTTTAATGTATTACTGTTATGTATCATACAACCCCAATGGTGTTTTTCTGGGTCAGATATTGTAATAAATGGTTAAGCCTTACTCATCCCTATCTTCCTCATATCTAAAAACAGAGACAGCTAAATTATCTAGTGCAGTACCATTCTGGGTTCTGGTGGAACCATCTGACTCAAAGGCACCTCAACTTGCTGTTAGTAAGATTTTTCAAACTGACTCCTTAGCATACTTTGCTTCTTTTTAATATTTTACACTGGTTATTTACTTTGGCTAAGTGTGATACTCTGAGCAGTTCTTGTTTTGTGTTGTTTTATGTGGTTTTTGTGGCAAATAAATTCAAGATCCTTGAGGAGAGGCTTTTTACTTATTATTGCTTTTCCAGCATTTAACATAACTGTCCACATCAGAAGAGTTAGGAATAGTGTATGAATGTGTCTAACACAGTGTCTGAACCACAGCAGGTTCTGAATAAATTACTGTTATATTGGGCATATATTTATTCTGAATATCTCTATAAAATGGCTGAGTTGTGCAGTTCTGTGGATTGAGCCTTGGGAAGGTCTTTTGCTCTCTCATCTTAGGTGCTATGACTCTCGCTTTAACCAAATACAATTAACTTACTTAAAATAAATTCTGGACACTATACTTCAGATATCTAAGACATGATACTAATCTCAATTTCACTGAATAAAACCATACTTAAACATTCAGTGACTTGAAATGTGTTCCTTGAGAAAACCTAGTCTGTGTGTGGACTATTTGAGCACATTCTATGTGTTACATGCAATGTATACATAGATTTTAATGTACTCAGAGTTATAAAATGTTTTATGTTCTCGGTTACCTGTGCCCATTTTCTTCCATATGTGATGTCTGCTGGTTGTTTGATTTTGGGGGTAGAGGATAAGAATGCCACTTGTTTTTGCTTTGCTTTTTTTTCTAGGGACTTGCAGTAGCACATTTCGTGTGGATTGCACCTTTACAAGTGACACTCCTGATGGGTTTGATCTGGGAGCTGTTACAGGCCTCTGCCTTTTGCGGACTTGGATTCCTGATAGTGCTCGCCCTTTTTCAAGCTGGATTAGGGAGAATGATGATGAAGTACAGGTAGCAATCTACTTTCATTGCTTGAAAGAATTTCAAATTAGTTTTTCAAAAAGGCCACTCTAAGTAAAACCAGTACTGCTCTGTGCATTGAACTGAGCTCTGGGTGTCACTAAACATTGATTATTTTGATGCCATAAATGATATTATATTAATGAAACAGTTTTTAACTTCTAATCCTATAGAATTTCTTGGTAAATATGTTTAGATTCATTTCATTTTTATAAATCACAAGATTTAGGTAAACCTGGATAAAACATTTATGTGAGTTGGAGGAAATGCATACATTTAGTGTAGTTTATTGACTTTTCCTACTCTGGTTCATCACACCAGAACCTTAGTTAATTTTTATTGTAGAATGAATGAGTGCTTCTAGGCACGGCTTACAATAGAGAACTTCTTGGATTTATAAGCTATTACAGAAAGCATACACATTTTAGAGTCAGGTAGTTCTTTGCTTGAATTCCAAGTGGCATACTTCTTACTGATGCGACCTTAGTCAAACCGCTTCACCTCACTGTGTCTCTGGTTTTCTCATCTTTAAAACGGAGATAACTAGTCTTGCCCGTAGTACAGTGGTTATGCCCTGTGCATAGGAAACCAGAAACCAGGTCCGTCCCACATGGCTGACTGTGGTTGGAGTCCCCAACCCAGCAGCTTGAAAAACATGCTGAGTATGGGTGTGTATTTATCCCAGATCATGACAGGATGGAGAAATGGACGGAAAAGGATTGCAACAGAATCATGCCCTGTTGTGGGGTACATTGCCTCTCTCTAATGAGTGCACATATCTTTGTCAATTGAAAAAAGAAGTAACCACTTTTCACAGACTACCATGAGGAATAGTGTGTGGACCGCGTCTAATACAGTGTCTGGCACACAGCAAACTTTTACTAAATGCTAACTATTATTTTGTTGCCACCTATTTATATATATAAAAAAATGCCCATCTCTTTTAACAAAATAAAGGTGGCTTTCCATAAAGCTTGATCAGTTCTTAGTGGATAATTTGACTTGTGTTTACTATTAAATAGATTGATTGATTGATTTACAGAGATCAGAGAGCTGGGAAGATCAATGAGAGACTTGTGATCACCTCAGAAATGATTGAAAATATCCAGTCTGTTAAAGCATATTGCTGGGAGGAAGCAATGGAAAAAATGATTGAAAACCTAAGACAGTAAGTTGTTCTCATTTCAATAGACTCACCAATTTTATCTTTAATATTTAGAAAATGACTCAGTCACAGTGACTTTTAGATCATATTTAAAGTTTCCAACAAAGAATCGTATTGAGTTAATGCCATATCCACACATTAGTTGTATAATGCCTTTTATTAAGATAATTAGTTAATTAATTAATTAATTAATTAATCTTTTTCAATGAGAGAGAGAGCATGTGGGAGGGAGAGAGATGTTTTTGACAGTTTCCCCACACCATTATCTTGTGCTCCAGCCTTCCAGTTATCTAGGCTTACAGGTGTGTTTCAGTTGTACGGGACTGGTCCAGGCAGCCCAAGAGGCCCCCATTCTCACACACTGGTGTCCTACTGCCTGCATCATGGCAGTTGGACCCAAAAACTCATTTTCATGTGTTGGAGTTTTATGTAGTTGATCCAGTGTGTATTTTGTACTACAAAGTTATTTAGACCTTATGAAAGAATTTAGCTGTTTAATATACTTATTTGATTAAAATCATGATGATGGCGGAGGATGATTGACATCTTAAAAAGAACTGCCAGGGGAGGGAACCAGCAGTTAGCATAATGGCTATGTCGCTGGACTCCCACGTAGTCGACCGTGGTTCGTGTCCCGGACCCGGTGGCTTAAAAAACTCACACCGGGCGCGTGTGTGTGTGTGTGCCCAAGATCCCGAGAGGAGAATGGAGGAGAAGGGATTGCGGCGTGACCATCCCCTCTGGGGGGGGATTTCTCGCTTTCTGTCTCTATGTCTCTCTCTGTCTGTCTGGCGAGCGCACGTGCCCTACAGTGAAAATCTCTCCCAAAAAAAAACAACAAAAAAAGAGAACTGCCAGTGTGTACAATTGTGAAGCAAATACATGATTCTTTATGATTTCATTTTACTTAATTTTTATGTTATGGGTCATAAAAAATGAAATAAAAAAGAATCCTACTCTGTATTTGTTTAAAATATGTTTGTTCTTCTTTAATTTAGGAATAATGGCATAGGGTAATATCCTTAAGTTGTGTTTCTATTAATCCTACACTTGGAAAGAAGTCAGTTCAAATAATGAAAGCCATCTCCTGAGCTAGAATTCGTACTTGGCACCTGTCTCTTTCTTTCACTTCAGATAACCTTTCACTGATTAGTAAAGATTATACCCAGCAAAAGAAATACAGCACAGACTGAGATATGATTACTAAGATAATTTTAGACAAATAGAACATAGAACATTCCATAGCCATGGGACCATTTTTCTTTAGTCAGATCCACTTTCTCCAAAAAAGATTCTGAGTCCCAGTAGGGGGAGGTATACTGTTAAAGGGACAAATAATTTCAGGATGTGTACACACAGAAGTTTCAAAAGGAAAAATATACTAAAGGAGAAGTACATTTTTGAATGGTGTGGATATAAACTATTGAGAATTCAGGCTGTGGAGCTTAGACAGTGGTAACTGAGCTGCAGGTGTGTGATTGGAACAACAAAAGAAATGCTGAAATGTTAAGTCCTTTGCCATGTAAATATAAAGGGTAAAAGAATATTTATTTCCCAAATATTATTGGTCACCTGTCTTTGTTGTGCCTTTTAAGACAAATCCAGGAAAGGAACTGCATTTTCTTTTCAAAAACATCCTTAAAGATCTTGAGGGAATTGCTCAGGTGGTGGAAGCTTTAACAAGTGTGGCTCTATCACTGGTGTCCCGTCCTTCTCTCTCATGCCTATAAACATGTGTGCGCCTAGCAAGGGTGATGCGAAGGTTATGAGAAGAACCAGTTTTTTCAGGCCTCAGGATAAAACTCAGGGCCAGGTTATTCTAGGTGCCGACTTTTCTTGACTTTGATTTTTTTCTTTCCTCTTCCTCAAAAAGATGAAATCCATCCTTCTTACCCTGTATTTCTATTTGACAAATTCTAATAGTAAACGTTTAATTGTAATTTGTATAATCCAACTCCTTAGACTGGCATGAAATTGTTACCTGAGAAGGCTGGTAAGTTCTGATGTAAATATGGAAGGCAAGCATTGCTTCTACTGAACAGAGCAAATATAATATTCTGGAAGAGATTGGCAGGATGTTCTTCAAAGGAGTGATTACTTCGGCCTGAGCCACTATTGAACTGGGCAAAGCTCCCTGCAACTACTCTTTTATTGCTTTTTAGTAATAAAGTCACTTTCAGCTTTTTTATAGAAAACCGATAAAGTATTGTTATGACTCAAAGTGTAAGTGATTTTATTATGGAGTATACTGCTTTCTAGATGATTCTTATAAATGTTCTTAGATCCATTATTTTTGTAGTAACTCTTCCTATTTTTCTCAACTGTTTTAAATATATACATATATTTAAATGTGTATTTTTTATTTTAATTTCTTTTATACATTCACATACATCACTTCATTTGTAAGTGAATGTTCCAACATGAATACATTTCTCACCAATCCAGTTGGGGATACTATGCACGTTATTGTCAACAGATAATAACCCATTTCTTTGTCCCATAAATGTCTTCTCTCTCTATTTTTTTTTCCTTAATGTCTTTCCTTAGACTCTCCTCTTTCTCTGACAAATTTGTTAACATTGTTGTTAACATTATGCTAACATAGCCAGCAGTTAGCGTAATGGCTATGTCGCTGGACTCCCATATAGTCGACCGTGGTTCGAGTCCCAGACCCGGTGGCTTAAACTCACGCTGGGTGTGTGTGCGTGTGTGCCCAAGATCCTGAGAGGAGAATGGAGGAGAAGAGATTGCAGTATGACCCCTGGGGGGTGATTTCTTGCTTTCTGTCTCTCTGTCTCTCTCTATCTCTCTGGTGAGTGCATGCACCCTATAGCAAAAACCTCTCAAAAAAAAATTGTTAACGTTGTGAAAGTTAGTGTTTCCTAACATTCTGTTAATACCAAACCAGTCAGTATTTTTTTGTTGCTGTTGCTGAATATAAAGGACACACACCCATTGTAGATCTGTCCTTTAATCTTGCTTATAACTCCACAAGGAAGGTGTGTTTCCCTTCTGTTAAACCAGAGGGAAAAGTTACTTGCTTATGATGGCATAGTCTACTATAATGGCAGAGCCAGAATTCATACTCAGGTGAGATTCCAAAATCATAATCTCTCTGTAATGGCAAACTACCGAAATAGGTAAACATTGGAGCTTATTAAACAGCGAATCACAACCTTAGCTGGACACACTGAACTCCATTGTTTTCATCACTGTGCTTAGGACTACATACATTTTTCTCCCTTTCTTTCTAGCTCTGTTTCTTTCTGGCGAGCACGCATGCCCTCCAGGACAAATAAATGAATGAATAAATTAATAGTAAATAAATGAACATAAATGAGCGTTTTGAATTTTACCACTTCAGAATGAGAATTGCTTTTTGGAATTATACAAGCATGTGGGATTACTGCCCCCACGCCAGGTGCTTGCTTGCACCATGCCATGGCTCAGCTACTGCTCCCTCCCAACAGAGACCTCCCTTTGTC